TTTTTCAAGTTCCTACCTATTCATCAGTCCTCCAGAGAGAGATCTAGATTGGAGAATGCTTTGTTGAGTACAACATGGTAATGAATCTCTTTAATTTACAAAAACATGTCCAAAGGAATCCAATAGAGAGTAAAGAGCCCAATTTGTCTACTGTATAAAGCAAGGAAAGTTCTGAATTTCAGAGGCAACCCTAGGGAGTAGTGACAGCCCAGGGGCAAAGAGAAGAGATTCAGAAGGGTGGGCAGTATTCTAGAGTGAGTGAAGAAAAGTAGGCAGGTAGTCAGAAGCAGTGGGAAAGGACATGAGGAGGGCCTACAGGGATGGCCAAGGAACTCCTAAATATCAATACCTAATATTCCTTATTTAAGTTGTGGGCTCTATGTTATGGATTAAAGCATATAAATAGATAGGAAAGCTATCAGCATTCTAACATTGGAAGGAAGAGTAGAAGAGAAGAACCCAGCAAGAAAGATTGAGAAGAAAGGATTAGAGAGGTGGGATGAAAAGCAAAAGCCTGTGAGATGTTCTGGAGGGTGGGGGGAGGCAAGTGATCCCTCAGGTTCTTGGACTTAAATACCATCTATGCACTGGTAACTGTAGGGGAAGAAAAACATTTCCGTATCCTGTTAGGTTCTATACCTGAGGCCTCTGAATTAAACTGACAAAAGACAGATTAACAGAAGAAAAGCATACCAATTTTACTTGATGTTAATATTTTTACCATTCATGAAGGCTTCATGGAAAATAAGTGAAAAATCAAAGAAGTGGTTAGACTTCAGGGCTTATATGCCATCTTAACGAAGGATGATAAATTGAGGAGAAGTAACTAAAGAAAGAAAAGGCGGTTTGGGCTTATAGAGGTGGTAAACTGTGAGAAGGTAAAAATATAGGGGAAACTAATGGTAGATAAGGATTATAGTAAGTTTTCTTTGTGCAGACTCATCTTGGTGCTGTCTCCATTTCTGGTGATAAGGGGTGTTTTCCTTGTCTTGGTATGGGAGAAGAATGGGGACACCTTTGTGAGAATTTATGCTCTTTTAGGCAGATAAGGACAGAGAGCTCTTACTGTGTCTGATTTTCTCAATTGCCTTCAGATCAAAATTATCCTTATGCCAAAGTGGCATATTTGGGGGTGACATATTCTGATTCCATTCAACTCCCAAATTTATACCTCCAGCCAAGACTTCTCCCTGAACTCTACTTCTCATATAGTTGGCTGTGCAACCCACATTTCCTGTTGGATGTCCATTAGGCTTGTTCACATTAACACACCAAAAACCAAATTTCTATATTCTCATGCCAAACTTCTTTCACTCTTATGTTTCTCATTTTAGTAAGTTACAATTCCATTCTTCTGGTTGGTAAAACCAAAAATCTTGGAGTTATCCTTGATTCCTGTCTTTCCCTCATATTCAGAATCTCATTGCCTCTACCTTCAAAATATAACCAGAATCTAAGACGTCCCACTGCCTCTATAGCAAACACCCAAGTCTAAGCCACCATCATCTCTCATCTGTTTGCCGCAATAACCTACTAAATCCCCACTTCTATCCCTGTATCTCCTCTCACAGTCTATTCACAACACAGCAATCAGGATCCTTTCTAAATAGAAGTCATTTTAAGTCATTCTTCTAACCCTAATCCATCGTGGCACACCCTCTGAAGCCCTCATTTTATGGCCTACAAAACCCTATAAAATCTAGCTCCATTTCCCTCTGATCTTATCCCCTACTCCCCTTCCTCTATTGAATCTGCTTCAGCTACTGACCTCCATACTATTTATTCCTCAAACACACCTGCACTCTCCCACCTCTGGACTTTTGTAAATGCCCTTCACTCCACTTTAAGTACGGTTTCCTAGGATACCCACTGGACTTGCTCCCTCTTCTTCTTCATGCCTTTTTTGCTCAAAGTGAATCTCCTCAAAAAGGACTGCCCTGACCATTTAAGTTACAATTACACCCTCCTTCCCACTGCAAGCAGTCCCTTTACCCTGCTTTGTTTCTCTCCTAAGGCTTTTAACATATAGTGGGCCCTCCCTATCCGAGGGTCCACATCTGCTAATTCAACCGATTGAAAATACTTGGGGAAGAAAACTAACAGAAAATAACAATACCACAATAAAAATAATACAAATTTTAAAGTTATATAGTATAAAAACTATTTATATAGCATTTACATTGTATTAGGTACTATAAGTAACCTAGAGATGACCTAAAGTATACGGGAGAATGTGCTTAGGTTATATGCAAATACTGTATCATTTTAGATGAGGAACTTAAGCATCTGCAGATTTAAGCATCAAAAATCTAGAACTAATCCTGATTTACTCACTGTCATTCACTGTTCCAGGTTTTTGACAGGGGTCCTGTAAGTAATCCCCAGCCGATACTGATGGATGACTGTACCATATAATCTGCTTTCTTGTGTTTTACAGTCTGTTCTCTTCTTCCCAAAGTATAAGCTCCAAAAGGGCAGGATGTTTGCCTCCTGAACACTAGTATATCCTCAGTGTCTAGAACATGGACTGGCACATAATAAGCCCTCAATAAACATTTGTTTAATAAATGAATAAATATAACTCATTTCCTCAAAAACCTCCAGTAAAGTCTCTTGTAACTAATAGTTTTGCTTTGGCAAAAGAAAACAGGGGCCAAGTGTGGTGGCTCATGCCTGTAGTCACAGCACTTTGAGAGGCTGAGGCAGGCAGACTGCTTGAGCCCAGGAGTTAGAAACCAGCCTGGGCAACATGGAGAAACCTGTCTTTACAAAAAATTTAAAAATTTAGGTGGGCGTGTTGGCATGACTTGTGGTCCCAGCTATTCAGGAGGCTGAGGTGGGAGAATCCCTTGAACCCGGGAGGCGGAGGTTGCAGTGAGCCAAAATCGCACCACTGCACTCCTACCTAGGCGACAGAGCAAGAAACCGTCTTCAGCAACAACAACAACAAAAAAATACTCCTCGTTTGGGAGAGAAATAACAGTCAAATAATAAGAGTAAAATTGCAAATTCAAAACCAAGTTGGAACTAGAAGTGGCTAGGAGAAACTCCTTACTACCACCACCAATGATACAGATGGTGTGCTGGGAAGATGATTTGAGCTATTTTTATATAAATATTAAATGGAAAGGAGACCGAAAATTTGACCCAGAAATCTGAGGTTATATGTGTGAACATTAGCCATCATTCATGTTGCTATACACAATGAGGAGTCATGGAAGGATTTTTAACAAGGGAATAGAAGGTCTGGAGTGTAAAGAGCATAGAAGTGAGGAGAACCATTAGGAAGCCACTGCAATACTAGTTCACATAGCTAATGATGAAGATTTGAACAAGGCAATGGCGTTGGGAATGATGAGGGAGGGAAAAATTCCAAACATCTCAGCTGTAGAATCAACAGGATTGGTGACTGACTGGCAGAAAGGCATGGTTGGGATACATCCAAGGTTTCTAGCATTAGTATTTGAGTGAACAACAATGCAGTTATTTGGGTTTTATAATAAAAGAGGCAGGTTTTGCTGGGGAAATGGTGATTTTTAGTTGGATTTCAGTGGAAATATCCAGAAGAAATCTGGAATTAAACATGAATGCAATATTCTGGAATTAATCTGTCAACAGAATGCACAAATAGAAGAGACAAGAGGAAGGTGAACATATAAAAACGGTGGCCAGGAACATTTGAGAATTGGGTAAAAGGAGAGAAGCCAACGAGAAATCGGAAAGAAGTTGATATACATGCCAAAGGAGGAAAAGAAGTAAAGAACAGTCAACATTGTCAAATACTGAGTAAGATGCTAGCTGAGAGAAGGTAAAATAATTCTTACTGGATGGTGGAGGTAGAAACCAAATTGTTGTAGTCTTAAAGAGTGAATGACAGTGAGAACAAGAGGACACTAAATTAAAGCTCTGCTGAAGAAAACAGTAAGGCAGTAACTTGAGGGTGAGTCATTGTCCATAAAGGATTTTTATTTCCCACCATAGTCCTAACCTAACATTTGACATCTATCTAGTAGGCACTCAATACCTACCGAATGCAATAATATTTTCATTTATAGACCAGGTCTCCTATAAAATGGTCCAGTGTTCTCCACATAAAACAGCACAAAACAGATTGATCATTCTAGGTGGGTAGAGGGATTGAAGGAAATAAAGACATTTCATATTCTATATTATGTTTTGGGTTAATTGGCAAGAATAATTACTTCTTTCTCACCCCATCTCTGACTATACACACACCCAAATTACAGATTATAGAGGAGAAAGGAATTAAATGACTCCCTTGAGACCAGAACTGCATAGTCCAAAAGAAAAAAAATTCAGCAATCTTACTTTATTAAAAAATTAGGCATCAAGATGCTGCAATTTGCCTTACTTACATATTTAATTGCTCTTAGGTTAGATATATAATATGGGAAACCTGGAAAAAATGTTTAATGGTATAATAACCGTTTACGACCTAACATTAAATGAAAAAAGCAGCTGCCATATTGCATATTATCTCAATTTGGGAAACAGGAAAAAATATAAATACAAACACACATGCACACACAAAGTCGGAATAAATAATATAAGAAAATAAACTGAACGGTCACAGTGGCTCACGCCTGTAGTTCCAGTTACTCAGGAGACAGAGACAGGTGGATCGTTTGAGCCCAGGAGTTCAAGACCGGCCTGGTAAACATAAGGAAACTCCGTCTCCACAAAAAAAGGAAAAATTAGCCAGGTGTGGTGGTGCATGCCTGTAGTCCCAGCTACTCAGGAGGCTGAAGAGGGAGATCAGTTGAGAAGAGGAGTTTGGTGATGCAGCGAGCCGAGATTGAGCCACTGCACTCCAGCTTGGGCAATATAGAGCGAGACTCAGTCTCAAAAAAAAAAAAAAAAAAAAAAGACAAGAAAGAAAGAACATCTTTCTTTTCTGAATTTTCCCAATTTTCTACAATTAAAAACGCTTTAAAGATTTCCATAAAGTCAGTCATGGGAATTTCTATCTAAGCACTTACCAGCAATTTAAGCTCCTTGTCTTTTGATCTAAGTTGCTCCAAAATAACAATAAAGGCTACAGTGATCGAAATTCACGAGACCTGAAATAGACTGCAGCCTTCTTCCTTCCCACCTTCTTAGAATCTTTGTCCTATTCATCTTCCTTACGCTTCCCTGGGTTCTCTTACTTCTGGATTCTAACGGTGAATTGTGAGAAGCAACGCGGAAAACGGAATGGAGACACCAGCTTGTTTTAAACGAGCTGTATTACCCCGCACAGTGCAGGGGAAAAGATAATTGGCTCAGGTCTTGGCTCTGCCATCTACCACCTGTGGAGCCTTAGACAAGTCAGTTCATATTTCTGCCACTCAACGGTCTCGGTCGTGTCATCTTTTACCGGGAATGTCATGAAATATACAGTACACTGCAAGAACTGCCTCAGGTAAAGACTTCTAGGATTCGGTCTCAGTCGATCCCTCTGAGAAAGGCCGCACCCTAAACGCACAGACTCTGCCTCTGAGGGGGTGGGGTCGGGGAATCTGCATTTTAATAGCTTCTCAGGTGATTCAGATGCTCAGTCAGGTTTGAGAAACCAGGTCTCTTCCCAGCCCTCCTGTTCTCTGATCCACTTCTCTGCTTCCTCCAGGTCCTAACGATTCTCCAGTTCCCGCACAACAGGAGCGGAGGGAAGAGTGCAGAGAAGGCACAGCCAAAGACCGCAGGCCCAGCCGGCTGGCCGACCTCCTCATTCCCGGGGCACCAGCCGGCGGGTTACATAACGGGCTTCGGGGCGCGCTCTCGCGAGGTTTCCACCGCCCCCTCCTCGTTCCACGTCAGAGGGAACCGGGCGGAGCGGCCAACATGGCGGAACGCAGGAGACACAAGAAGCGGATCCAGGTAGCAAAGCCGAGCTCTGGGCAGGGGGTTTCAGCACGATGGAAAGTGGAAGGAGCAGGGAAAGCCCCCTAAAAGGGAGAGCGAAAGCAAGGGCGAGGTGGGGTGGGGTGGAGTTCCGCCGCGAGGCCGCTGGCTGCAGGCTGCGTCGTTGTGAGGGGCCTGGGGCGGCGAGGGGGGGCGGTGTTGGCGACGGCGGAGACAGAGACAGAGGTGGTGGTGGAGCAGCAGGGTAAGGAGGGAGGCGCCGCTCTCGTAATCCGGCCGCTGGGGCGCGGCTGTGGGCTCGGAGTTCCTGTGGTCGCGCCGTCCCGGGCCTGACCTGGGAGGTCAGCCTCGTCCGGGGCGCTGACGTTGACCCTTCCCGGGGCTCCTCCCCTCCCTTCACCCCATCCTCTGGCCTTAGCTGTCCTGAAATTAAGGCCACGGTAATTGGGGTAGCAGGAGGCGGCGGACTGACCTAAAGCAGCTGGTCCTTTGTGCGCATAGACCGTAAGGGAGAATGATCTGGACTTGGTCAGCTGCCTCGGGGCCTAGGCAGCGATCTGCTCATCCAGATGTTCAGTTGCGTTGCCCTTCTTTCCCCTCAATATTCTTAACTTAATAGTCCACTTGAAGCTTGCCGGCTTTTTTCCAGGCGACGTGGTGTAAACAACCACAACCTCGTTGGTGCTGCAACGAGCTGGTGGCGCCCAGAAACGCTTCACATGCCAGTGTGTCATCCTCATAGTAACCTACATAACATCCCTGCCTCACTCCACATGCATGTCATTTGTGCATTTCTTCCTTGCGATTTTCCCTGGTTCTTGTTCTTTGCCAAGAGGATTAATTATGTAGAACATCTTGGACTCAGGATATTTATTAGTCGTCTCATCAGCTGATGTGCTGAGAAACCTTCATAAGGCCTCATAAATTGATCACATGTAGTAAATTGTTACTATAATCATAAATTGTTACACTCATCATTGCCTTTCTGTTCCTTACTATTTCATTACTTAGAATGATTTTTTCTTTCTTCCATTTTACCCCGTCTTTTTTTTTTTTTTTCAAGTTTATCGATTTATTGGCCTACACTACAGGTGTTTTGAGCTATACAAGTTAAAATTCTTCTGGAAACTTTTTAAATGCTGTGAAAAAGACACACATGATCAATAAATTTGGAATTTGGCAGAAATAAAGTAGTTCTGAACAGGGTACAGAAGGGAATTAGAAAGAGGCAGATTTCAAGTTCAGACAGATCAGACTAGGTCTTAAGATCAGTAGAAGTTTCTAATTATACTGTTCTTAATCTTTCAAGAGTTAGTGTTATTCCTCTGACGTGGGCATACAATATTTTATTAGATTGTGTATTGAAATTGTCTGTCAGATTTGTACTTACAGAACTTCTTAGATTTACTCTTGACAGTACAATTTTATGCCCTTCAATACACATTGTTTTACAATTCCAGTTGCTTTTTAATATTGTTGTAAGGGTTATATAATTCACCTTTTGAATAGCTGCTCTTATTTTAGTTGTGATCTTAGATTAAACAGAGGCTGTGGAGTAATGTGACAGTGGCAGAGAGCTCAAACTTGAGCCAGACTGCCTGTTTGTACCCCAGCTCCACCAATTATTGGCTGAGTAACTTTGAGCAAGTTAATTTTTACCTCACTTTCTGCATGTGTAAGAAGGGATATTTACCTCAAAAAAGAAAAAAGAAAAACTTTAAGGTTGCTGTGAAAATAATAGGTGAGTCAACTTATTTATTAAAAGTTATTAAAAGTATTTGGCACACAACCCCTTCCTTCTATTCTACTCCTTACCCAGGGTGAAGGATTTAGATTGGATTGTTATTTTGTTTTTTGTTAAGTACTCTTTGATATACTGAAGAAAGATTAGCAACCCCCTATTCAGTAAATAAACTGTTAGGTTGGGAGTTATGTAGAGTATAGCTATTTACTTTCTATTATTTGAGGATCAATTATTAAAAACCTACTTGGCATACACAAAATTAAGTGACATTTATTTTTCTGTCCTTGAAATTTTCTACATGGCTGTGTAAAATGTTTGTGAGAGATCTTAGAGTACTACTTTTATGCAGCCTAACACACTTGTCAAAATATACTAGCCTAGAAAATACCTCAGTTTTATCATTCCAGATAATCAGAAGCTCTGTAATCACTTGTGATAAAAAGATCAAATGTAATGAAAAGTTTAGAGTTTAACTTACAAAAAAGATCCTGTTGTGGAATTTTTAGGCAAAAAAGTCTGTAATACCAGCTGAGTTTCTGTCATTTGTTGCTTGGCGTTTTATGTTCAGAAAGATGTTTACGTTTAGTGATTCAGTGATCTTTAATTGTAGTTTGCACATTGGGGAGAAATGTTTGATACAAACAGATAAGTTCAGGGTTAAAAAAAAAAAGTAGCTAATTTGCTTTTTCTGTGTAATTCAGTGTAATTTCAGATTCTCGTGTCCCACTGAAGTTTCTAGCAAGAGGACTGTTGTCACATTTCCTTCTTGGACTCACATTACTGGTCACTGAAAACCAGAAGTGAGCTACATGTACTCATACAGTAACTACATATAGATGAACAATGTGCTGCTGCATACCAGTAGTTGATTTACAATCCTGGTATCAAGAAATTTTAGAGTTTAAAAGGATCTAGTAGGATTTGTTGGGAAGCCTTTTTCATGAATTCAGTCTTACATGAAAGCAGAGTGGTGATCCTACAGCTTACTGATCTTACCCAACACCCTCGTTTTTCAGATAAACTGAGGTCCAGTGAGGTTTTGTGACTTAATCCAGGATCATCAATCAAGATAGTAAAACCAGATTTAGACCGGGTCTTCTGATTCCCAACTGAATACTTTTTCCGTGTCACAATAGATAAAAAATAAGTTGCTCTGAAATACTTTAATCCTGACTTCTTTATTATTGAACTGTACAACGTAAAGACTTAACATGACTTGTCCTTGCTAAAGAGAATCGTCCCATTCAGTATTCTGCTTATATGTAAAATATCCAGTTGAGTTTTGAGACATTTAAATGGCTAATTCTTAGAACTTTTATAACCCTCCATTAGTTATTTTTGTTGCACCCATCTGTCTTCCTGGCAAGCAATAAAACCTTGACATATTATGGGCTTATGTGCTTAATTTCAGGACAGGGAAGAAAAGAGAAAATTTAGGACTATATAGCCAGCTATACAGGTCTGATGTCTGACTCCGAATATTCTGAAGAGAAGGAACTCAGGAAGCCAGTCCTAAATCAGAAAACTCCCCCCAAAGACTTAATGGAGGGTTTTGCAGTTTAGCAAACCCATTGCTAAGGAAAGAATACAATAGAAGGGAGTTGGAGCTATTACAGAAGGGTACTGCTGTTGTCTAGATACTCTTGTACAGCTTTATTTGTATAGCACACTGTGTTACTAAAGATTAAGGTCCCCTCCAGCTTTCAGATTTTATTGTTAAACTACTGTTTGCATTTTTCACAAATATTTTATGCTGCTTGAACCAAGCCTTTTTCTTTTTTGCTCAGTTCATGGTTGACAGATCAGCTAAGCTAATTTTTATTGGATGTAGTAATTTTTTTTTTTTTTTTTTTTGAGACGGAATCTCACTGTGTCGCCCAGGCTGGAGTGCGGTGGCCGGATCTCGGCTCACTGCAAGCTCCACCTCCCGGGTTTATGCCATTCTCCTGCCTCAGCCTCCCGAGTTGCTGGGACTACAGGCGCCCGCCACCTCGCCTGGCTAGTTTTTTTGTATTTTTTTAGTAGAGACGGGGTTTACCGTGTTCACCAGGATGGTCTCGATCTCCTGACCTCGTGATCCACCCGTCTCGGCTTCCCAAAGTGCTGGGATTACAGGCTTGAGCCACCGCGCCCGGCCTGGGTGTAGTAATTTTTAAAAGTTCCTCTGTATCACAAATTCTGTAAGATTGATGCCCGTGGCATATTTACTCTTGATATATTATTTTTTTCTCAAAAAGGTTAAATATTGACTAAAATAACTTAGAAATGGCAAACTCTATTTTATCATAGTATTTTAGTGTTGCTGTATTTTAAAGTAAAACATAGTATTTATTAAAGAATTTTATAAGAGTGTTCTAACCAAACTTCCAATTTAAATAATTTTGGATTTTAAGTTACAACACCCAATGTATTGGTATTGGGTGCAAAGAAAGGAAAAGCAGTCCAGCCTAAATTTATTGACTCTTAGCTTCCTCATTTTAAGACAGTTGTGTTCATTCATTGAACTAAGAAGTTCTCTGCATTCATTTGAAGATTAATGGGTTGGTTTCTCTTTATTAGCGGGTGCTACTATTCCCAAAAGGCCTTCACTTTGTTAGAAGTCTTCTAGGAAAGTTACAAAAATATTCTGTTTACATCAAAAGAAAAAGAGGGGAGGTACTGTGGTCCAACGTATAGACAGAAAGAAGGTAAAACTTTTGTACTCCCTTATGCTATATCAGGAGAACAGTGAAAGTGAAGACTCCATGCACGTTGGATGTGGTGGCTTGTGCTTGTAATCCCAACTATCTGTTCATGTTCTCATGGTACTCTTTTATCTTTTCTTTTCTTTTCTTTTCTTTTTTTTTTAAAAGAGACAAGGTCTCACTCTGGTACCCAGGCTGGAATGCAGTGATGGCATCATAGCTCACTAGAGACTCAAACTCCTGGGCTCAAGTGATCCTCTGGCTGCAGCCTCCCAACTAGCTGGGGCTACAGGTGTGCACCACCTCACCTAGCTAATTTTTTCAAAGTTTTTGTAGAGATGGAGTATCACGTTGTTACCCAGGCTGGTCTTAAACTCCTGGTCTCAGGCAGCCCACCTCGGCTTCCCAAAGTGGTGGGGATTACAGGGATGAGCTGCTGAGCCCTGCCTCTCATGGTACTCTTCTACAGCA